ATGACTTCCAACCCAGTAGCGATGGCCTCCAACCTAATAGCGATGGCCTCCAACCTAGTAGCGATGGCCTGCAACCTAGTAGCGATGTTCTTTTTTAACGTTCATTTTCTGTGTTTACTTTACTGTGTTTCTTTGTTTCTTGAGCCGGTTTTAAGCTGCTTTTCTTCCGTCCCATCTTTCCTAACCTTGTGCCAGTATATTCCAATCCAAACAAGCTTAAGCTTGCCTCAACGAAATGAATAGGGCGAGCGCTTCTTCAAGGTAGCTCCCCCCCACCACCTTTAGGGCGGCAGGGGGAGCTTCCTTGAAGAAGCGTGAGCTATCCTGCGTCGATACTAGTAGCTACATGCGGGTACTAGCTACCTCTTCTACTAGCTACCGAGCTAGCTAACCTACCTACCTCCCGCTTACCCCCCCCGAAAAAAACGAAGTATATTATAGATCACATCTCTATATATAGTCTATATTATATAGTATATAAATTATGTTTTATACTCTAAAGAAGAAATCCCTTTCTCATTTGGGCTCGGTCCTCCACGCTCCGCACATCGATGCCCAAGGTCTTGAGGAGCTCAGTGGCCTTTTGAGGTGCGAAGGCACCGATGAAGCCAAGACCGGCAAGAGCTGTGCGATGCGATGTGCTGATTTTTTGTGTTATTTGTTGTATGCATGTTTACTCAGTGGTACAGTAATTATGCACTTGGAGAAAGTACACAACCGCATACAATGGGGGGATCTTTTCTTGTTTCCTTTCCTTCCCTCCTAAAGTCTTCGAAGGTAAAGTAGAATCAAATGAGGTGCACGTTTCATGTCCAATTTAATCAATACCCCTTCCTTTTGCTCTGGTAGAGAATACGGTTCCTCACAACTTCCAAACAATGGCAAAGTGCTCTTGCAAAAAGTACTAGAACTACTGTCAACTGTAGTAGTGAGGAGCAAAGGATAGCAAAAGCAAGGACCTTGGAAAAAAAACTCTTGGTTCCGCCGCATCATGAATCACATGGCTCAATGGCTACAAGTTTCTACCAGTATGACTTAGACGCAACGGCCTCCAACCCACTAGCGATGGCCTCCAACCTAATAGAACAAACAGCCGCCTCAGCTGGCCGAAGCATGCCATTCTTCTTGGTGTCGAAGGTGTCAAAGATTAGCTGGATGCCACTGACCTGGCGGTTTTCCAACCAGCCGAAGCAGCCAAGACGGCCAAGACGGCTTAGACCCACCTGGAACATTCGTGACTGGCTTACTAGGCCATTACGAGAAAGATTTGAACGTCTGGACTCATTTGCTTTGAAGATGCAATCTAAAGAAAGCAGAAAAAACACAATATAATGTTCACATCATAATAGTAAACCACGTGTCAGTGATAAACCAAGAATATTTGCGCTGTAAAAACCACCAAGACTCGTGTAGTGTGATCTCCAAACGACCTACAAAAACAAACCTAAGCTCTCCTCAAAGATCCACAATACTTACGTCCAATACTCGCACAAATCAAACAATAAACCGATGTTTTCTACCCAATAATTCCGCGATATTCACGTAAATTGCATCTCAAACTGCGGATCTTGAAACAGGACGCACAAAACGAGAAGTGTACAACTAGGTACACAAGACCACAGGCCGAAACGCCTGCGTGTTTGGCTCAAGAAAACAAAGACCGCTTTTCGTGAAGCATGGGTTATGAGCCCAAAGCGGTGACGCCATGACATCGTTGATGGCAAGGCGGCGATCCTCATCGAAGGAGCGGCAGCAGACCGCGGACGAGAGGCTCGATGAACTCTTAGCGCAGCAGACTCCAGCACGTCGCACCCAAAGTGCGGAGCAGCACGAGACAGACGGTGACTGACAAGACCCCCAGCTGGAGCGAACACGGAGCCCAGGGCGGCGATCATGGATGGTGGTCAACCACGACAGGAACCCCCTCCAGGAACGATGCTGGCTGGACTACTCCCTCCTCTACCTGGCAGAGCTCTTCTTGGTGGTGGACAATCTGGACTGGTGGATGCAGCTCAAGCCTTGACGCGAGAGCAGATTCCTGGATGGCCAATGCTCCAGGGACCGTATCCCCAGGGATATCCGGTGGTCTTCCATCCAGGGGGACGAGCAGATGATGTGGGGCAGATGCCTATCCTCCCGGGACGTCGTGAACGTGAGGGAGGGGAGTTGGCGGAAGGGGCTTCAGCTTCAAGGCTGGAACTATCTCCGGGAGATCGAGAACGCCAACGAGAGGAACATCAGCCTGGACATGCTCTTCGACCTGGTCGTGCACATGAACCCGCTGGTGAACTACCTGGACGTGAACTGGGGGTGGCTGGTGCCATGTCGAGGCAACAATCGCCTATCAATCCTTGGTCTGCTGAGAAGATTAAGCAGACGATGAATCTCCCGCAGAGCCAAAGCCAAGAGGCGGGAGAAACCGTTGAACTTCTTCGCCAACGAGTTCTTCGTGATGCCGAACAGCGTTTTGCTGATGGTGTTCGACAGCTGCTGGGAGGAGGCAATCCGCCTTCCGATGCTTCGTTCAAGACGGCTGCGGAGAATGGAGGCGCAACACAAGGGGATGGGAAGCAGCAGGTGCCGGAAACCGGGGGACCACGGCAGCCTTCGGGGACTGGAACACAGGTGGCTTCATCCTCAACTATGACGACAAGTGGTGGTGTTCCTGTTCCTGGAGGCAATCTTCCTGGACCTGGACCCGTTCAAGGAACCGGACCTGGAGTATGTTTCCCTTGGCCATATCCCCTGGAATTCAGCTTGGACCAGGTGGATGGGGTGCTATGGGGCTACCGCCCAATGGTGGTGGAGGTGGCGGAAACTATGGACCTGGCCTGGTTGGTGGTGCTCCTATGTATGGGGGCAGTGAGGAATCGGTCAATGAGACCTTTCGCAGTGTGGATCTACCTCCACTTCCTTCGGACGCCAATGCACTGTCCTTCGGTGATTGGTTAGCCACGATCCAGCCTTTGATCGCGGACGTGAGTGTGTCGGCGGAGGAATGGTGGGCTGTGACATTGAAGGGTGTTGATGAGCTGTATACCCAATGGTTGGCTTCGGATCCTCTTCAACGTCTTCGGTTGGACACTGGCACTTCATCGGCGGCTACAAGGTGGCCTAGGACCGAAAGGAGGATGACCAGTTTGTTGTTGCAGGCGGTCCCCGACAACATCAAGGCGGAGGCTGTGGCTGCGAGGAAGCTGAGCGTGACCCATTTGTTGTTCACGCTGTTCGTCAAGTTTCAACCTGGCGGACAAGGTGAGAGGGTCACTCTCATCCGGTTTTTGACGGAGCTCAAAACTACGGGCTCTATGGTTGAACTGGCGCAGAACCTGCGTCAATGGCGGAGATGGTGGAATCGGGCTCAAGAGTTGGCGGTGATGTTAGACCCTGTCATCTTGGCAGGTGTTTTGACTCGGGCTTCGGGCGCCATTGCCAAGTCT